GAAATCATGACCTTGTGCTTACCAGGCAAGCACTTATTCCACTGAGCTATCTCCCCAGCCCCTTAAAGGCTAATTTCATGAAAAAGTATATTAGATTAGGAAAATTCTTTTAAATTCTGGAATTTTTTTTTTTTCCTCCCAAATTTTTTTCTTTCTCAGAGACAGCTTCTAGTAAGAGTAGTAGTTTAGAATTCTTCATTTATTTTTATTTATTTTTTATTTTTTGGCGGAACCGGGGATTGAACTCATGCCCTTGTGCTTGCCAGAGAAGCGTTTATTCCACTGAGCCATCTCCCCGGCCCTAGAATTCTTCATTTAGTAACAAAAATATCAAAGAAAAATTTTAAGACTTCATTGTCTTTTTTATTTTTTTTGAGACTGGGTCTGTGCAGTTCAGTCTGGGCTTGAACTCACAGACAGCAGTCCTGCTCAGCCTCCTGAGTTCTGGGAACACAGGTGTGCGCCACCAGACCTGGCTTCATTGTTAAAAATTTTCAAATATCGTTATTCTGAAATTGCCACCAAAGGTGTTTGTGGGAGGAAACTAGGATATAAGCACAAGTTGTTAAAAATAAGCAAATTTCAGTGCCCATTGACACCAGAAGTTACTTATTTAATCTTGTTTCAATGGGGGATGCCTGTTAGATTGGGTTAGTGTTGCTTATGGAACATTTGCCAATATGTGACCACAATCTTCTCTCTTGCCTCTTTCCTCATCATTAAAATACAGGAATTGCATTAGATGATCTGTAGAGTTCTATTTTTGAAATTCTTTGAACTCTTCTTAAAATCCTATTATTATTTTAGTGTTCTTACCCTTAAAATTGCAATAGGAAAGGAGGACAGGCAAACAGCCATTGTCTTCTAGAATAGGTTTATAATGAGAGCTTATTTGAAGTACTGTATTTCCACTTAAGTGATCTAAATAGATATGGCCTATATTTAAAAATTCTTTAAATAAAATTCTCAGGGCCAGCCACATAGCTCAGTGGGTTAAAACGCCTGCAAGCAGGCGCAGGGGCCAGGGTTCAATCCCCAGGCCTGTGGTGCCCGCCTCACCTCCGGGGCACGCTGGGACAGCAGTTGAGACTGGGCATGGTGGCATGTGCTTGTAATCCCAGCTCTTGGGAGGGTGTAAACAGGTGGATCACTACGAGTCCAATCTAGTAATGAGACCCTGAACACCCTGTAGACCCTTCCCTAAAATGCAAAAATAAAAAAATAAATAAAATTCTCTTTTTTTTCCTTCCTAGAGTTTAAGCATATCTTTTTTAAGGATCACATTTTTAGAAGCTGTTGCTTTATTTTTATTGTATTTTAAGATTGCTAAAGTTTTGTGGATTCTAAGTATTATTTCTATTAGAATTAATGTTGAGATAGCACAGACTAATAAACTAAATTAAAGAAAAACAGATCCATAGTTTTTCTTTTACTAGTTTTGGTATGTTGAAACCCTGTATGAAGTGGTCTAATGTGATAAGAATTTATGTAGGGTACACCTTTTCCCTATATTATTTTGGGTAATTATGTAAGGACCACTTGCACAATTTTTAAATGATCTGAGCTCGAACAGGAGAAAAGACAGTGTGCCTGACTGTATCTTCATGCTCTTCTGATAAGTTCTTGAAGGTACCATTGTAGCCCTAGTGTTAATTTCTCATAGCTTCCAGGTACTCATGTCCTGTGATCTTGCCAAATAATCTGGAGTCTGAGCGTAGACTTTTCAAGGATTTTACATGATGATTATTATGTGGACCTTCAGAACATTTCTACTTTTTCTTGACTTCATTTTGACTGTTTCTCACTTTGATAATGCTGCTTGGAAACTGATAGTAGTGTTATTGGGTGAATAGAAGAAAAAAATAGAAAATTAATTCAAAATATTTCTAAAATGTGTTAATTTTCTATTTTTTCTGCTGGCTTAGTTTTTAGTTCAGATACTATACCTTGCTAGTTAAGGATGGGTCTTTTAAAGTGTAGCTTTGGGATTTTCTTAGATTGATCAGTGCTGCAATCAGAAAATTCACAAGAACTTCTCACCTTGTGTAAATATAACTTATTTTTAACATTTTAAGAAAAATAACCTCAGCATGAATATTTTTTGTTTCTGGACTTACTATTGGAGATGAGCCATCCTGCTGAAAACTGAGTTAAAAATCAAATTTTTTTTTGACAGCATGGCTCATCACAAATAGTAATGTTCAAAGATTAGATTAATAAGATATTTTTATAATATAAAGTTCTGGTTTTGCACAAGGTGAGAATCTCTTAGGCCATTTTCTGATTGCTTTATATTTTTATTTTTATTTTTTTTAAAGCTGTGTTATTTTTTAGTTCTTCATGCTTTGGAAGTAACAGTTGAAGAGAGGTGAGGAAAGTTTGTGAAAATTGTGATCGGTGATTAGCTGCCACCTGCCTGAGGTGTCTTCTGAGAGGAACTAACCTCTTTGTGGTGCTAGAGCAAGGTCACTGGATTAAAAAAAGAACAGGTAACCATCTTATTCCTTGTCTGAAAAGTTCTGTTTTAAAATTAATAAATGCAAAATGCCGAAGATAGTGTGGATGGCTGCTTAAAGAAAGTTTTCATTTTTCTTCTCAGAGACTAGTAAAGTGGACTATGTACTTTTCCAAGCTGCCACCGCTATAATGGAGGCAGTCGTCCGAGAATGGATTCTTTTGGAAAAAGGCAGCATTGAGTCCCTGCGAACATTCCTTTTAACCTATGTCTTACAGAGGCCCAAGTAAGTATATGGTAAAGAGATTGTTCGGATAATTTTACTGAGCTTGTGTCTGATCTTTGCTAGCTTGCTTGAGTTCTTTAATGGTTAATATTTGTGGTTACACAGTATTTGAGGCTCATGTTTAAAGAATACACTTGTGATCATAGGTTGTTGTTTTACTTAAAGAAACAATATCTTTTATTTGAGGTTATGATAGTGAGTTTTGTTTCTTTAAAAAGATTTTGCTGGATACTGGGGGGGTTGATGGCTATAAAGTTCTGAAGAATTTGGTTATAAATAAAGTTGATCTTTTTAACATGTTTTAAATTTAGAATGGGATAAATATTGTAAATAGGTGAGTATCCCATGACTACAGAGAAGTGAGACATTAAATATCATTATCAAAGCTAATGTTACATATGTATATAAAATATCCTATAGGAAGTATTCTTTAAGACAAGCACCCGACTGTTTAAATTTCCTTTGAAGAAGGCTTGAGGCTTGAGGAAAGGATTAAAAGTGAATTTTCTTTTTACATTGTACACATGTGTAATGTTTAAACATTTTACAAAACTGTATACATTTGTTGCTTATATGAAGTTTAAAAAAAAATGGGCAAGCACAAGGGCCTGAGTTCAATTCCCGATTCTGCAAAAAAAAAAAAAAAAAAAAAAAAGTAAATAAATAAATAAAAATAAAAACGGGGGCTGGGGAGGTAGATAGCTCAGTGGTATAAGTGCCTGCCTGGCAAGTGCAAGGTCCTGAGTTCAATTTCTAGTACCAAAAAAAAAAAAAAAAGAAAAGTAAGGAAAATTACTACCTACAGAATTTTGGGGAAGAAATTGATTTGCTATTTATTTTTTTCTCTCTTTTTTTTTAATGAATTTAGGACAGGGTGTACAGGGTCTCACTACACAGATCGGACTCGTAGTGATTCTCCTGTTTTCAGCCTCCCAAATGCTGGGATTGTAGATGTGCACCACCAGGCCCAGTCTGACTCACCATCTCAGCGCACCCCAGGGGCAGGATCGGCAGGGCAAGCCAGGGAGCGAACCCCAGCTGCTGCGCTCCTGCCAAAGCAGGCACTTTAGTCCACTGAGCTCTCTGGCCGGCTTTTGCTACTTATTATTTTTGTATTGTTTTTTAAGTCTCTCAAACACTAAAATTATTCTTTTAAAAATAAGTCAGTGTATATAGATGCTCGTTGTTTGTGCAAGTGAATACTTCTTAATTAATAAACTTGATTTTAAATTCAATGAAGAAAAGGGCTGTTACATAATCAGAAATACACAGATACACAAACTTAGGAATGGTGTTAATGGGTCTAAACATTGTACAAAAAAATCTTACTTAGAACATACTATCATGCATTTGTTTCTACCAGGTGTCTATCATCAGTCTCAGAATTTATATTTAATAATTATTGTCTTTTTAAATAATTACTGTCTTAAATTTGGCACATAATTGTTGATATGTTACATATAGAAAAATTTGTGAGAGAAAAAAGGCCAAGTTTATTTAGGTTTTAACATGATAGGTTTAGCAGATAACATGTCCTATAGATGAATGTATGTATGTATCTGAGGAAGGTATGACTTACTTTTCTGGTTTTAATAGAATCAAGTTTGCTCCTGGTTTTAAAATTTTCTTTTTCCCTTTATACTGGACTGATTGAATGATTGATTGATATTCTCTCTCTCTCTCTCTCTCTCTCTCTCTCTCTCATTTTTAGTTTTTGGAGACAGGGTCTCACTATGTAGTTCAGGCTGCCGTTGGACTCAGTATATAGTCCATGCAGTACATAGCTTTGAACTTGTGGCAGTACTTCTGCCTCAGCCTTCCAAGTGCTGGGATTATAGGTGTGTGCCATTATGCCCAGAAATGCCCTCATTTTTGTTTGTGAGACAATTTGGGTGCCATAGTAGCTTACCCTTTTGTTGTTTCTTTTGGGCTATATTTGCTAGACCTGAAAAGACTGTTTTTCTTTGTATCCCTCTGTAACATCAAGTTAAGAACAAGGAAGTATAGGTATTGAGAATGTCAGCAAGTGTTTGTTGCTTGCTTTATGTATTTACTTGTTTTTGCACGCATTATCATTTCTACACATCAAAATTGTTATTAGGCTCAACATGGAATAGGTATTTGGCTGAATTTTACTAAAAATGATGTTCTGGATCATTTCTTTGTGCTAGCAAAATATTTTGAGATCAATTTTGAGTGTGTATTTATAGTAGAATAAAAGCTACGGGAGAACTTTATATAATGAAAGAAACTTTGAGATGCTTGTGTTTATATTAGCTTACATGTAGAAATGATAATATATGTATTATAAGAAATTTGTTTTGGTGGCACTGGGGATTGAACCCTGGGCCTTTGCTTTGAGCTAAATTCTCAGTTCTTTTTTAATTTTTTGAGACATGTTTTGCTAAGTTGATAAGTTCCTCAATCTAGGCTTGAACTTGTTGTCTTACCTGAGCTTTCTGAGTGCTACGGTTATAGGTGTGTGCCACTGTGCAGGGTTGTAAGATAATAATCAAATTTTCCCTATAGGCTTGTTTTTCTGTTGTGTAGTCTGTTGATGGGTAATTAAACTAAATTGGGGAACTGACATAAAATCTTACATTCCAGTTTTTTACCTGTGGAGTAGAGACTTGGTATCCACCTCATGTGGTTGGGATCAGGACCACAAGAGATAGTTCTGGGATTCCTGGTTGCATAGGCATCACTGTGGTTTAGCCTTTCTGAGGAATCAGGGCCACAGGGGGCACCTGGGCCCTAGGAGGCCCTAGGAGCTGCCTAGAAACCTGGGAACCCTGGAACTCTGCCATTTTCATTAGACACAAATGTGTGACAGGTTTTTTTTATCATGTTTTTGTGTGTGCTTTCTTACATTATTAAAAAATAATTTCATTTTAAAATAATTTTTATTTCAGAAATTATGTTAGAGTTAGAGGGTTCACTATTGAAATAGTATACTTACACATTTTTTGTAAATCTTGCTTTGAACAAAATTTTGTTTGAAAATTTTTTTAAACTGTCAACATAGTTAAGAGCAGTACAATGAATGTACACATGCCTTTTTCCTAATACTCAGTTAACACTTTATTGTATTTGATTTCTCTTGTGTTATATGCATGTTTCCAGAGCATGTCAGACAATGATGTCTCATTTCTTTTCTTTCTTTCTTTCTTTCTTTCTTTCTTTTTTTCTTTTTTAGATAAAGTCTCACTTTATAGTTCAAGGTGGTCTTGAACTCACTGTGTAGTTCAGGCTGCCCTCAAACTTGAAGCGGTCCGCCTGTGTCACCCTTTTGGGTGCTGGGATCACAGGCATATACTACCACCCCTGGCTGCTTCATTCTTAAATACTTAAGTATGTCCTTCCTTCAAAGCATAATCTCAGTCGTACTGACATAACTGGCATATGAGATAATTCTGATTCCATTACCTAAGGTCTCCAGTTTTCTGCGTGTTACTTATATCCTTTTGCCTCTTTTTTTTTTTTTTAATGTATTTTAGTACAAGGACTAGAGGCTCTCACTACACAGATCAGACTTGTAGTGATCCTCCTGTTTTAGCCTCCTAAGCACTGGGATTACAGGCATGTGTCACCATGCCTAGTCTTAGTTGCTCTCTCAGCGTGCCCCAGGGGCAGGGCTGGCACGGCACGCTAGGGGTCGAACCCCTGTCCCTGTGCCTGTCTAAGCAGGTGCTTTAGTCCACTGAGCTATTTGGTTGTCCCTTTCTCTTACTGTTTTTAGTATTGCCTTCTGCTTTTATATCTATTATATTTGCTTTATGTATTTAAGTACAATAAAATATTTTTATTTCTTTTAGTACTGAGGATCTGAACCTTAGCCCTCTTGTATGCAAGGCGAGTGCTGCACCACTGAATTACATCCCTAATCCTAATTTTTTCAAAATCAAGATATTACTTATTTGCAAAAGCCTTGCATAATAATTCAATAAATGTTAACTTACTTATTTTCTAATAACTTCTAATCTTGCCAATAGAGATATTTAAAATTAGCTTCATGTACATGTCCAATAGGAACCTCAAGCTTTCTCTGTATGTTTTCTAGCAGTTTTCAGTTTATATTCTTTCCTTTAAAAGTACAAAAATTATTTTTAATCAACTAACATTTTTCCTTAATAAACGAAGAATGAATGGTTCAAGTCTTTCGAAAAAACATTTTTCACTTTAGTCTTGATGTAGGGAGACATGTTTTGTGTGTTGTTATAAATGTCTGTTACATGGCAGGTGATGTGTTTTGTATATACTAGTATGTGCTTAAAAGTGTAGGCAGTTGATTTGGGAGATTGACTTAAACATGTTAACAAATGTGTTGTCATGTGCGAGTGACTCAGGAACCCTTGGTAATATCTGGAGAAAGTGATGTCACAGGCTTGGCAGAGGGAATAGAAGTTCAGAGGCCTTGGCATGCAGGAGTATGGCCGGGAGCTGAATGAAGTTCAGCATGCTGCGGTGTTGAGTGTACATGGAGGAAGTGAGGTCAGAGAAGGGAGCACATTCTTGGCCATTCAGGGCTTTTTAAGATAGTAAACATACTCTGTAATTTAGGTCCAAACTGGAACACTTTGAAAGAAAATATAAGCACTCTTAATGGTTGTGGTAGACAAAAGGCACTATGGGACTGTTCCAGGAAAGTCAAGGGTGGCTTTTGTTGCTTGTAAGCCATGGGAAGTAGTGTGACTTTATCTCAGGGACATCTGATTATTGTATCTTTGTGGCATTTGTAGGGCTACGTTATATAATTCTTGTTTTCTGAGCTTTACCTTTAAGAAAATGTTGTTAAAAGACATTTAAGTCTGCGTCATGTGGTCTACTGGGCTTGGTAGAATACCCCAATTAGGAACAGGTGCTTCTGTTATACAGAGGAACAGAACCTAAACAAAAAAAATTGTTAAAGTTAGCTTTGTACTTTATGTGTTTCTATTGTATTATTCTTTGAATAGCTGTCATTTTGCTGTCACATTAAAGAGTAGTGGGAGTTATGATTATATAATTTAGAGACAGATATTAGATCAAAATTTGTCTTAGTGATACTCCCACCAATATTTAACATGTATTTAACATTGCTTAAGTACCTAGTGTATATTGGGCATGGTTCCAGGACATGATCTCTATAACCTTGTTAGTTTTATATCCATTTTACAAATGAGAAAACTGAGACTTTTAAATGCTGTCTTGCTCAGGGTCACATAGATTCAAACCCAGGTCGTCTGCTTTTGAAGTCTGCACATAGCCAGTACCTTATTGTATACTCTTCGGGCTTAGTTAAAAAATTTGGGAGTATTTTTACATTAGATTTAGGTAAGTGTTTTCACAATGATTTTTATGTTTTACAGCCTCCAAAAGTATGTTCGGGAACAGATTCTATTAGCAGTAGCAGTTATTGTAAAGCGAGGATCATTAGATAAATCAATTGACTGCAAAAGCATTTTTCATGAAGTCAGCCAGTTGATAAGTAGTGGCAATCCCACTGTGGTAAGTATGCTGTTTGTATTTATAAGTACTAGAAAAGTAGCATGGATATTTACATAAAAGAAAAAGTACAAGCTAATAAAGCAATTTTCACTTGTTCAAATTTTCTGTTTTTTTGTATATAGTATATTTTGCTTTTTCTTTTGATTCTGTTTTTTCATGTTGTCATAGTGTTCATAATCATTACTTTAATTGGTTATAAAGTACAAGGTAATATACCATAATATCCTTAACTATTTCCATGAACATTCTCCCAGTTTTGTTAGTGATTTTTTTTTTTTTTTTTTGGCTGGGGGATAGGGTGGTAACTGGGAATTGAACTCAGGACCTCAGGCACTTGTACAGCTCAGCTATATCCCCAAACCCAAGGCCCCTATGTTTAATCTATCTTAAACAACTACTAGTAATTGTAGTAATGTTTGAATTAAATTTGAAATGATGTCAGACATAAAAACTTTTTGATTAGTTTTATTAGAGTTTTTTATTTGAAACAGAGTCTCATTTTGTAGGTTGGGCTGGCCTTGAATTGACTGTATATTCTTGGCTGACCTTAAGCCAAGAAACAATCTTCAGCCTCAGCCTTCTAACTGTTGAGAGTGTATGTGCCACCATCCTTGGCTCAACAAAACTTTTAGCAGTTGCTGTACCAATAGACCATGTATACCATGACTTTCAGGTGTCATTGTCAGGTAAACAAATATAAGACCATTGTTCTTGACTGAATTACTCTGGGGAGCATGATTTTCTTCTGTCATTTTGTACCTGTTAGAGAACTAATCAAGCCTGGGGAGTTAGTGTTGGGTTGCAATCACTTTGTTGGAAGCATGAGAGACAGGAATTGATGTGCATGGCCAGCTGTGGTTCTTGGATTGCACTATTGGCTTTTATCAGCTAAATGCTACTTAACTCTTTTGAAATGGGATGGGTAATGCCTGGCCATTCTGATTCTTAGGTATTAAATCTTTGATTATTTTGGGCAGTTTTTTGTATATGAAGCTACCTATCTTGTTCTTTATGATTCCTTTACATTGCCATTTCCCTCAGAAGTGTCTGTTTATTTATTTAGTTAGCAAGCTAGTTAGTTTTGCTGAGCTGGGAGATCAAACCTGGAAAACCCCATGTGTGTGATTTTTTTTTTTAGTATTCAATGGTTTAAAGTTAAGATACGGTGGCACATTTTAGGAGGGTTGTATACATTATCCCTATAGTGATTCCAATCTCTTCTACTTGCCTCTAATCTTTATTGATGGTTGGCTGTCCACTCACCTTAATACTTCAGTGTGCTCCCAGTCCCCACTCCCAGAATGATAACCTAGGGATCTAGAGTGAAGGAATTGGTAAGCAAGCTTGTCAGGACTTTTTTTTTTTTTTTTTTTTTGGCAGAACCAGGGATTGAACTCAGGCCCTTGCACTTGCCAGGGAAGTGCATATTCCACTGAGCCATCTCCCCAGCCCCATGGACTTTGTTTTTGATTGTGTGGATGTTGTGTTTTATGCCAGCTTTGTGGCAGATTTCAAGTTGTGCTGTCCATATATGTTTTTTAACTGCTTTTCATAATGTAATTGCTATGTGTGTCTTTTTAACGTTAGAAATGGCAAGTATGACTGAGGAACCAAACTTTTAAATTAATTTAAATTCATAACCACGTGTAGCAGTTGGCAGCCATAGTGAACAGCATAATTCTAGACTTTAGTAATCCAAAGGTCTAATTTTATGTCCTTTTTAAATTTAATCTTAGTATTTCATTGTGGTTTTGTTTTATATAATAAGAAAATTTGTTGAAAATGATCCCCTAATAAATCAACTCCTTTTTTAAAAAAATGTATTTGGTTGTTATAGGGCCTCACTACGTAGCTCGGACTCATACTGATCCTCCTGTTTTCAGCCTCCTCATCCCTGGGATTACAGGCATGCACCACTATGCCTGGAGTCTGTGCCTGGCTCAGCCTGCCCTAAAGGCGGGCCTGGCCAGCATATGGTGCTAGGGATTGAACCCAGGTCCCTGTGCTTGCCTAAACAGACGCTTTAGTCTGCTGACCTATCTCGCTGACCCTCAATTCCATTTTTTCTCTCTCATTTTCTTTTTTGTGCTATGCGATTGAATTTGGGGATTTTTTTTACTAAGCTGTATTCCTGCCCCCTTTTAGCTTTTATTTTGACATAGGTTCTTGCTAAGTTACCCACAGTGGGTTAAAGTTTGGGATCTTCCTATCTCAATCTCCTACAACTGGAATTTTAAGTGTGTGCCACCATGATCATCAGGGAAGATACTTTTTACTTACATCACTCTCTAGCAGTCAGGGCCACCATTTCTGATGGAGCTTTGCTCTTGATGCTGTTGCTTCAGGCACGACTGCATTGTTATTTGTCTGGATTTGGGTAGTATTTGCTCACAAACTAATTGCTGTGTGCATTCTGATGGTGGCTGCCATGGAGCAGAGGAAAAAAGTGGTGGATATAGCCAGCAGGGAAAACTTCTGGAGCTGAGAGTCTTTGGAAATCTTGTCCTAGACCTAAGTGTTCTAAATCGGATTACTCTTCATTTTATTTCATTTATTTTATTTTATTTTTTATTAGTAAATATTGTGATATATAATAAGTACAGTAGCATAGGGAATAGGTACATATACATGTCAAATTGTAGTCCTTCGTACTTCCCCTTCCCCCTCCCTTTGTTCCCCTTTTTGCTCACCCCTATGTTCCCTTCCCTTCTCCACAGAGTCTGTCTCCCTGTTTCCTGTTTATTTTGCTCCTTAATTATTTATGCTTTGGATTTTTCATATAACAGAAATAATGTGATACTTAAACTTCTGTGTTTGATTCATTTTATTTAGGGTTATGGTCTCAAAGTTCATTAATTTCACTACAGACGATCATGCTTATGTACTCCATTTGTTTATATGCACTACAGTTTCTTTATCTGTTCATTTGTTCATAGGCATCTTAGTTTGGTGATCTTTCCAGTTAGGATTTTGGAATTGATGTCTGGCCTGCCTCATCACTTACTCAGGTGCTTCAAGCAAAAGATAGAGTCGCTTACTCTTAGGAATGTTCACATATTCAGGAATTGAGTTTCTGCTTCCTTTCCCCTTGGGTAATTTGATCCAGCACAAAAGAAGACCACTGTAACCTGGCAGTTGGATTTTTTTGAGCCACTGAAATAACTTATATTCTGAGAATGATTGGAACAGGTGTAGTTTAGTTTTTTGTGTGCTCATGGTGCATATATTTTGATAAAAGGATATGTTCTTATGAAATACGCCAGAATATTTTAAAAGTCAAATTTCTAATAACAATGCCAAGAACTTTGATAATAGTAGGAAATTAATAAGGGGAGTAGAATTTGACTTAAGATTATAGGATGACTTAATTTGATGACCACCTTGAAAAGATTAAGCTGTTTTTTAAACTATCTGTGCTTTTTTGTGACCAAATGAAATGTATGTGCTCTGACTATTCCAGTTTGTCTTTGTCCAGTAGCTTGAAATTAGCTCATTTAGGAGGTTTTAAAAAATGAGATTGTAGACCACTAAGACCTGTTAGTTTATCTCCTTGGACTATTAAGAACTCATGGGGGGAAAAAAAAAAGAACTCATGGGAGTGGTTTAAGAATTGAAGTTTTTCTTAGTCTCAGAAACATGAGTAGCAATGGAAGAAAGGCTCAAAAACTCAGTAAGAAGGTAAAAAGATAAAGTAATTAGAAAGTCAGGTGTTAGCTGGAAAAATATTTTAACAATGGTGATTTGAAGGCATATTTGAAAGGAAGTGATAGCCATAGAAAATCACCTGATGACCATCTTCTGGCCGGTAAAATGGCATATAATCTCACCCTCCCCTTGAGTCCTGGTTGTCCATTTTACTATATTAGTCTCATAAGCATGTTTAAAGAGGCATAGAGACAATGTAGTATAATAAAGACTGATTTTGGATTCGTACTTGATTTTATTCACATTATAGCTCTTCCATACATACTACTTACATAACTCAAACAGATTATTAAACATTAGACATTAATTCCCTCATATGTAAGCTAAGTTCAGTAGTATTGAAGGGCTGCCCATTTTGCAGGTGTTTGTGCTCAGCTCTCTTGTAACCTCGCCCCTTTTTCTCTGTAGAATCTTGGGGAAATGAACTCTATTAAGTCATCTCTGTCAAACTACTTTAAATATTTAAGCAGAAGAAAGAATCCATGAGTGAAAATGAATTATTGTGTATGTAAAAAAATAAATAACCAACACATCTGCTTTCCTTCAAATGCTTTTAAAAAGTGTCTTATAGTTGAGGTTCTCTTATAGTTCTTCTTTGAAAGATTACCTTTAATTTATATAGCCCTTTTTAGAAAGATATTTCTTAGCAGTTTTCTAGGTGTCATGTATTGTAAGTGTACTTATGCTTCTAAGATTTTTAAATAATGTTTTTTCATGCCTGTCTTTATGGGCAGACTATTTTCCTTCCATGATTATGAAGGCTGAGGTGGTTTCTTCATCCCAGTTGGCAAGTGTCAGAACTACTCTGAAGACTGGTTTGAGAGAGATACAGAAACTATCTTTCTTGGGAAAGTAGCTACATTTTTATTTAAACTTAACATTTTAATGTATTTCATGTTTGAAAGTAGCAAGACTACATTACCTCACTTTTATAAGTGTTACATTTAGTATTTTGGCCTCCTTTTCTCCTCTTTGCCAAGTGGGTAAGAAATTCATTTGTCTGCAGTGACAGCCCTGTGCCTGGATGTGATAGCCAAGTTAATCTCTCTTATCACAGAGTCTCATTGATGTTTGCTTAGAGGAGCAGCTGGAAGTATGCTTTATGTATGGCAACCTTTCATAAAGTTTATTCTTGGTAATAAGGTTCTAAGGGCAAGAGCCAGTCTATTATAAGAGACAATCCTCTTTCTGAACAACAGCGTTTTATTTTGTCAGCTGGAGTTAGTGTTTGAGTATCTTGTGCTTATGACAGTACACTGGTGAGTAAGGCAAGCTATCTCTGAAGGGCCTTTTTT